CACAATGTTGAGGCTTTTCACTGGGTGCTTTGACATGGGAGTTTAGTTTGTTGTATCGTCGTGCATTCCGCTTTGGCTGGGATGTATGCCCAGACCAACTGTGCTGTGAAACGTATCAGGAAGAGGTATCATTAGACAGCTGCCCTGTGTGGACATTGTGTAGGTGGCCTTCGGAGCAGTTCGTGAGTTTCGTTTTAAGGGCGCGAACTACTTAGTTTCCTCGTCGATGATCAGCTACTTTTGCATCCAGTCTTTAGGTGGGCAATTTTAGATGCGATCTGCGGTTGGATAGGTTCATCTGCAAGGGCATTTGTGAGCTTTAGCGTTTTGTATGCAACTAGCTTGTGGAGACGTTGTACCCGTTCCTCTTTCTCAGCAACTACGCCGCGTTCTAGGTCCTCGGATGGTGAAGAACGTAGCCTGTCTGCGTCGTCCAGTTGGCAAGTGGACTGCCAGTTGCCCCCCCACCGCACGCTGCTGCATTGGGCCGAAGCTTTGGAAGCCGGTATATTATCCGCCTTGTTCAGCAGATGGTTTTTGGTGGATCCCCCATCAACGATACGTGCACGTACTAGTAGCATTTGCACACGCGTTTTAAACTCCAGCAGACTAAATTGGCGACTGGATGGTACTGTCTGGTGCGGGCTGTGGTATGTGGAGGGGCTTGGGCGTAGCACGCCAGCCCGCACGCTAGGGGAACCAGCTAGGATCAGGCGTGATGTACGTAATATTGGCATTCCTTAGCAGGCGAAGGTTTGGGGAGCGTGCTTGACTTGAACCGTGTATTCCATGCATCCATAGCTGCGCGCTGCGTGCTGTAGGTCGTCCGTTTTACATAGTTGGAGGATGCTGATATGATGATTGAAAGCGTTCCACGTTGGAACCTGTTGGTCACCCTGCCCCCCGACAGCGGTGACTATCCATCAGAAAGCGTTTGTGGAGTGGTGGACTCACGCACCACGCCACCAGTAGTTTTCTTGAGCCTGGTGTTTTGCGGAGGACGCTAGTGATGCCGGGTTGCACCTGTGGTACGTGCGTTGCGCTTAACACATATTAGCTCATACACTAACAGTATTTTGCTAGGCGCTGCGCCATGTATGTTGCGTGCCGCCAAGTTGCCGCCTCCCATTGTTAACGTTTGAAGCTTCTGACATGGATCGAATTGCAGCAAGTGTGCCAAGGACTACACTGAATCAGCCTTGCGCTTTACCCTCGCCTATGGTGTTTTATATAATCCTGGCTGGACTTACTCCGCCTGCTGCGGATGTTCAGATATTTGTTACTGGCTTCTGCATTGTGATTAAGCTCAAGGCGACAGCGTTAGGCAGTCTAGAGCGGCAGTCTGATCTCGCTTTTTGCATATCCACGTTTGTCTCCAGCTCTTCATTGCGACGCCACTGGACCGGCACAATCTAGTCTCGGGGAAACCCATCCTCGGACATAAGATCCTAGAAAGGCTTCTGGGATCAACGCAAGGTGCGAACGAGGAAGTGGCCGGTTAATATTTGAAGTAGATTGGGTTCGTGATTCAGGAGATGTATTTCTCTATTTCTCCTACAGTTTCAGTGGCGTGGCTACGCTTTAGTTGTTGGAATAGCGACGGTAGCGCTCGCAGGCGCAAAGTTTGGTTAGCGTGCTGGTTACCGTTGCATATCTACCCGTTTGTATACTCCTTCTGAACTGTGGATGCTGACCTGACTCGCACGAGGTTTTTCATTTCCGGAGGCACGCCGGAAATTTTTCTAGATCCCCCCTGTCGTGTGGCAATCCTTGCACTCCGCATTGCATTTTCGACGGCAGATAGCGAGAGCTGGAGAACCCTCACGCATTCGTATGTCACCGGATCCTGCCGAGTTGATTGTTGCTACAGCGTGAAGTAATGGAGTGCGCGGGATGTGGCGGCAGTGCTGACGTTGAGGAAGGCGTGTCGGAGCGTCTATAGAGGACCGTCACCGTGGTGGCGGGAGCTCGTTGCAAATGAGGGCTCCAAAATGGAAGGAATGTTCAGTCAGTTACAAACGTTGAGTTGCCACCGTGGTGGCGGGAGCTCGTTGCAAATGAGGGATCCAAAATGGAAGGAATGTTGTGCAGCGTGGGCGAGCCGGCCGAACTACCCGTAGAGGTGGTAGGGCGTTCCTGTGAGGCGCTCCTAGATACTGGCGCCCCACGCAGTTTCACCAACTCTCGATCGGTTGAAGCCTTACAGCTGAAGGTGTGGAACCTTTCGGATGTGTGTGTGTGTGTGTACCATAGCGAACGGTGCCCAGTTGCGTATTGATCGAACCGTGAAGAGTTTGACGGTCTGGTGTGGACGTGAATGTTTTACCGGTG